TTTGTCCTGATGTGGCCCTCCAGGACAGGATTATTCAGGGGTATCAGGAGAACAAATTATGCTTTGTAGCCAATGGAGATCAGAGGTGGATTGTCTGCTTGTTGGGTCAGCCTTTTGTTAGGCTGGCTGCCTGCAAGTAAGGACTGAATTCTCATTCGCACCAGACTGCTATGTCCCAGCTGGATGAGATTTACATCGATACACACACAGTGAAATGTGTCTTGCTACAACTAATATTAGCAAGTGGTAAATTGGATACCTTTTTAGAATCATAATGTACAGCACGCAACACACACCCACTACTGACAGCATCTGCAGAGGTATTAAAAGAACAATGTGGATGGCATCTAAGCTGGAGTGGTGAGAAAGCTGTGGCCAAAGATAGATCATAAAACAGAATATTTTCTGAGAGCTGAAGGACCTATGAAATACCTTCACTTTTCCCATCCTGTCTTCATACATGCGCACATACTCACACACACACACACACACGCCAAATCTCTTGTCTATGTCCAACAGCAGAACCACAGATCAAGATACATGACTGCATCTTGTGGAAAAGTCATTTAAAAGGGAGATGGGTCTTCACATTACAACACCATGATTTCATACAGAATCAAAATGGCCCTCCAGCTTCCTTTTAATTCCAAGTTACAGTGAGGAACACATTAAGGAACACAATGATTAAATTCTACTTGAACAGGCTTCAACAAATCACGTCCTGCCTAGCGCTGAATACCAGCCTCTGACAGGCTATAGATTCAGGACACTAAGGTTTTTTCTTATTTTCAATGATGTATTTCTACATGACTACCTAAGTATTAAAATAACAAAATCATATAATACAGCCCAACAGGTTTAATCTCAGGTTTCTATTTCTCTTTTTTGCCCCACCCGGGCCTCTAAGACTTAGACACACCACACTCACACAAGCACACCCAGACTGCCTGGCAATGGTCAGTAGAGCATAAAGAAGTCTAAGTCTTTTCTAAAAATAACCCTGGTGTGTGTGTATGTGTGTGTGTGTGTGTGTGTGTGTGTGTGATGTGTGTGTGTGATGTGTAGCCTATGTGTATAGACTGTGCACATGCCTCACTACTGAAGGCAGTAAGAAAACACAGAATCTGCCAAAGACCACATGACAATATAGCCCCCCGAGGCATGGGATACAGATGTTGACACGCTGTTAAGGGTTGCAGGATGGCTGTGCAGATGCACAGATAAAGGTGTAAACCTAGCTGCATGTGTGTTACACACGTGTCTATGTACCTATACATGTATGCACGTGTGAAGACAATCAAATGGGGAAACACGTTTCTGGCAAAGCTAAACATTATAGGCACATATGGACATGACCTGGGAACATGTTGTTTAGCCAAAGTCATGGAAGAAAGGTTGGAACACCAATGGGCTGCTATTCCCTGATTGGACGGAGCAACGCCGTCTGTCTTTGTCTCAACAAACTGTACATTCTTTAGTTGCGCTCTGCACTAACAAACACACTGTAGGAACAATATTAATCAACACGGGCCTGAAACATTCTTGACCCAGTCAACCCAAACTCCCAAATCCTCCAACAACCTAAAACCCCAGAGGTGGAGAAATGAATCTTGGTCTTTGTGTATTTAAACTTCTTCCCACCAGTTCAATCCCCGCTGCTTTTCTTCATCAGACCTCCCTCGGGCAGCTTCCTTCCTTTTCATTCCCCCGTTTTTACTTTTATTTGAAAACAAATTGACA